TCAATATTTTTAAAGAAATTTACAGGGATTGCATCAAGCGTTTTTATTTTAGTTTTAAAAACTAATAACAAATTTAATGTTTACTACTATCTGTGCATGACCAACTTTTACTGTATATTAATTTAAGGTGTTAATAAACTATCTTCGAAAGTCATTGAAACTGACAAAATCTATTAATGTTAATTCAACCTGTCAGAGTGACATCTAAAGAGTTGATCTGCCTATAAATTTAAGAATAAATTTTAAAATTCAATTTACTTTGAATTATTTTCTAAGGTAGATATATGGTTAGGATTAACTAAGTATTGTATGATAAGGATATTTTTTTTATTGTGTTAACTTTAAAAAGTATCTAATGCTCTACATTTTATATTAAAATAATTTACTTGTTTGATTGTATCCCTAAATAATAATTTTAACACTGAAAATATTTCTTCTAAATTTTATTTTTTAAAGTGAAGAATGATAGTAGGAAGCATCAATAAAACAGACATAGTAAAGAATTAAAAAAACTACTAATATGGTATAATGTGCAACATAGTGATCATATTTGAAGACATAGATGAGTTTTCATGCAAGTTTCTACTTTCATATGGCAGTTTTTTCATGAAAAACAAAAGAATTTTTTTTTTCCAATAAAAACTAAATTTATAAAAATCTGCATTTTGGTCATTTACTAAATATTAAATTTACCTTTTCATCATTTGAGCTACAAATTACTACTTTTTGAACTCATGCTCCCTGCGTTTACCCCCCACTTTTGATACCTTCATGTAGGCTTCCTTTGCTCTGTTATGCAATTAATATTTTTTCTTCTGCTTTTGCAATAATGTACTGTGTTGTAATTCATTAGTATGAGGCTTTAATTTTTTTATCATGTTCATTAAATGATTTTTGAGGTGTTCTACTTTAATAGTAATGTACATCCAAAACTCTGTATGCTGCTACTAATGCAGTGGCGTAGCGAGGGGGGGGGCATCATGCCCCGGGCGCTACTCACAAAGGGGCGCCAAATGGTCCGCAAAACAAAAAATTGCTGGATAATTTTTTTTTATTATAATTGATTTCTGGAAAATATATTTTAAATTAGTGCCAGTGTAATATAATAAATGTTAATTCATAAATATTATTCATAATATTTAATT